TGACTTATGTTTCAAGGTAAAACAGTGACAATTTCGACGTTTTCCCTTTAAGCGCAAAAACGACCCAAAATTTTGGTGCCGATGCTGCTTCTTTTGGATAGTTCAGATTGTGCCATTGATCTCTGCCCACAAAAGTTTTACTTAAACCATGTAAAAAATGGGAGATTGACAATGGCTGAATACTGACAAATTGGGATATTTGAATGCGTCCTTTTGTCATTATTTTTGTATGCCTACTTTGACAGGCTAGGTGTTATTTACTCATATCTGCGAGATCAATGTTCATAGCTGTGCTTTTCTATAATGGCTTACTTAATTACTCAACTTTACCAATTAGGCTACGAACTGCGGCTTTGACATTGCTTCCGATTGTCGCATCCTTAGACGCATGTCTCGATCTGGCTTTGGTCATTACCGTACCATGGTCATGAATCCGTATTTTTACATGGATTATTGTTCATGAATTCAAGGCTATTTCTTCGTTGTTATGGTTTTCAGACTACTTTTCTGAAAATTAATTGGCGGAACACCAATTAATCCCACTTTTTCAAACAGTCTTTTGTGTCGATGCTTGCACGTTGTGTGATTTTGAACTGTTGTCTGATAAAACCTTCGAATTTAGAACTTCTGACCGACAAATACCACCATTCCTTCATAATTACGCTTAATATCTCAAGGTTGGGTCTCATTTTGCCTTGTCTAGGATTGGCAGCTATTGCAGGTACTCTGTTGGCTTTTTTGTACGAAAATCGCACTGGAGGCATCGTGAAGGCGTCGCTGATGTCGGTGCCACGCGGCATTTCCACAAGTTTACTTCCGAGTGTTTTTTTCGGCCTCGTTTCGGCCACATCGTCGAGTCTTTATGCGCTTTTTTGGCAAGGAGATCCTTGTGCCAAGTACCAGGTTGCCCAGTCACTCTCAATCCTCCCTGCTTGTGTTGTTGCTGCTGCCTCGGGCTCCTCCAGTGCGCACACCTCTCCCGTTTCATCGACCGAAAACTCACTTCACCCACACGATGAACAGCAGCGGCAAGGTCGCTGTCACAATTACTCCTACGATTGTTCCATCGCTGAGGCTAGTGATATCGGGCAGCGCCCTGTTGTGCTTATCCGGCGGGACGATTTCTACCGTAAAATCTTGCACAACACCGTCTCTCTGGCTGCCGTGCTCTGCGTTGGCCTCGCTGTCTACCGGTGGCGGTGAAGGTTCTTAATCACCTCCTTTCCCACCGGTTTTTGCTCATTGTGTATAAAATTGACGTCCCTTTCCTCAACTGCGCTCTAGTCTACCTTCACCTCGCGCTGAGCAATAGGGTCAATTAGTAGGTTGCTCTCTACTTCACTTTCCTCACTGCATCTTATCATCGTCATTTGTGATGTTAATTCAAACTGTAATGTACTTCCTCTTTTTCATT